AGTATAGGAGGAGGAGGAGGAGGAGAAGAAGAAGAAGAAGAAGAAGAAGAAGAAGAAGAAGAAGAAGAAGAAGAAGAAGAAGAAGAAGAAGAAGTTGTAGAAGTAGCAGTAGCGGCGGTGGTGGAATTAGTATTACTCGCCGGATACAATGCTGTGCTGATAATGAAATAAGTAGCACACATACGGTATTTATCAATAAGTTGTCTAAAAAAATGCAATAATTGTACTTACATCATCCTCTTTGTACTCCTCCCCTACCCCACACCGAAGTGGTATCTTCCATTTCTCTGGTAGATAGCAGTACATCTTATCGACGACTGGACATATTAAACGGGGGTCTAGTTGCTTCGGATCCTGTGGACCTGTTTTATGTGAGGATAAAAACATTTGTCAATGTACTGTATGTCTCTGTCCTTGAGGTTTATTATAAGAATTTATTGATATGATATCAATAATCCCACTAAATATATAAACAATTGTTAAAGGAAACTTAAATAATACTGATTTCTATGAGAATGAAAAAAGTGAGATATGTTAGTGTGGCAGAATATCATGGGATGGCTCTTTCAATGCCTTCATATTCAAAATATAGCCGAGATGTTTGTGTTTGAACCAGCCTTTAATGCCACATTTCTGTGTATAGTCTATGTGGCTTTCAGTAAGATTAAGTCACATTCTTATCGTTTGGTGATCCTAAACCTCACAGTATACACCAGTTATCTTCATGTGCTGCATAATCATCCCTTTCCAACTGATTCAGACTGTTTCGTTAACGATGCCATCGCTTTCTTTGGCCAATACTCAACTTTATAATTGAATTACATCATGTATTGGATATAGCCATACCAGTTAAAAAGCTAACGATGTTAGCAACGAAAACCGTAATCATCCATGAGCTCACTCCATACCACGTGTAAGAAAGCTTGTAGAAATTCATCAAAGCAGATCTGAAACGATAAGCAAAGCAGGATATTCTTCACGGCTGTCTCGAACTTGATGGTGTTGGTGATGGTGATGATGATGTTGGTGGTGATGGAGATTATGGTAGTGGTGGTGGTTGTGGTGGCGATGGTGGTGGTGGTAATAATGCTGGTGGTGGTGATGGTGGGGGTGATGATGGTGACAGTGGCGGATCCAGGGAGGGGGGCCCCCCCTTGAGAAAAAAATCATGTAAAATCACGTGATTTTTTACCTTTTTTGGGCGCTCAAGGGGGGGGGGGGGGGGGGGGTGCAAATTGAAAAATTTTTGAGGATAAAAAAAAAAAATGTGCTCACTGCCCCCCCCCCCCTCCCCCCCCCCCTCCCCCCCCCCCCCCCCCCCCCCCCCCCCCCCCCCCCCCACTGAGCGAATTTTTGGCCGGCGCGTTTTTCAAATTTTCGGGAGCAAAAAAAAAAAAAAAGTTGGGCCCCCTCCCCTAAGAAATCCTGGATCCGCGCCTGGATGGTGATAATGCTGGTGTTGTGGGGTGGTGTTAGTGATGGTGGTAGTAATGGCTATGATGGTAATGGTGGGGTCGGTGGTGTCGATGGTGATGATGATGGTGGTAATGGTGGTGATGGTGGTGACGGTAATGATAGTGGCAGTGGCGGTAGTGGTGGAAAGGTGGTATTAATAATTATGATATGGTAATGGTGGTGTCGGTGGTGGTGATGATGGTGTAATAGTAGTGGTGATTGTGGTGGTAATTGAGGTGATGATGATGGTGGTGGTGGTGGTGGTAATGGTGGTGATGGTGGTGACGGTGGTGACGGTAATGATGGTGGCAGTGGCGGTGAGGGTGGTGGTGGTTGTGGTAAAGGTGCATGGTAGTAGATGGTAATGGTGGTGTCACTGGTGATGCTGGTGGTAATGGCGGTGGTGGTAATGGTGGTAGTGGTGGTGATGATGCTAGTGGTGGTGATGGTGGCGGTAGTGATGGTGGTGACGGTAATGATGGCGGCAGTGGCGGTGACGGTAGGGTGGATGTAAAGGTGGTAGTAATGGTTATGATGGTAATGGTGGTGTCGGTGGTGGTGATGATGGTGATGATGGGGTGTTGTGATGGTGGTGGTTGTGATTTGTGTGTGATTTCTGACCGAATCTGCCGACAAATGCAAAGTCATCACCACATAACAACGAATATAAAATAGCTCTCAAGTTTTACAATTAGCCGACAAAGATAAAATAAATTTAGAAAAGCAACTAGACTGCAAATTGTTGAAGCGAACTCCACCCCAAATATTTTCCCAACGTAACATAATCTGTATGAGAAAGTTAGATGATTATTTCTGGTTACTCTTTTGGAACAGTCGTCGTGAACTCATCGAAGATAGATGTCATCATGGAGTCCGTCGCTGATAAGTACGTCGCGTTCATCATGGAATCCGTCGTTATGTTCGACATCGGGCATTGGTCGGTTGTGAGGGGTGGGTCATCGGGTGGGTTAGGGTAGAGCTGTACCCCAATGCCGAGCCATAAGGAATAAGATAGACCGAGGAGGGTTCCCACGGTGACACCCTGAAACAGAGACATACCGAGAAGGAAGAAAAAAAAGTATTTCACTTACTCATTTAAAAAAAATCAATGCATCAGGAGATTCATGTTGTGTAAAATACATCAAAAAATCGCCCCTCTATCGAGGTTTAATCACAGTAAAATAGATTCAGACATTTCCTAAGTATTGTTCTACCCATGGGTGTTAGTAAAATATTTTACATTTTATAAGGGGAGGGGGTTGCCGGAAGGAAAATATCCAAATTGAGCCATCAACAAAAGGTCCTCAGCTATTCAGATTTGCACATGGGTTTAGAAACAGGTCGTCGTATTTATAAACATGGTCCGAAATATCAATTTCCGACGCAAGCAAACAAAGAGTAAAACAAGCACTTCTCTAAACATGATACATCAATTTTTCATTTACAAGTAGAATTTACTAACCTTTGAAGTGACCCATGGAAAGAACATACCACTTGAGAACAGACCTAGAACAGGACCTCCAAATATGCCGAAGATGTTCATCGAAAACTAAAGAAAGAAAAGTCAGGGTAGAGAGAACAGCCATGATTACAAAGACAATGATGCTCCTTTTGCATTCGGATGCAATGGAAAAGAAATGTCGGTCTACGAATATTTTCTTGGCAGCATGTGTAACAGGCCCAGAAACATCTATAATATGCGCCCTCTATTTCATCATGTACGCTGTAAATAAGCCACTTCGGAGATGGCACTTGATCAAAAGATCTCCAAATATCCATAGATCTTTTCGACATGGAGACGTCCCACTTGTGCATTTTAGAATAATCGCTGCCAAAGTGATGGAGGTCCTTCATAACTACCTTTTTGTTTAGCCTCTTGAAATATTACATTCACCTGTGTATCATAGAATCTAATGCCGCGCCGGTGCATAAAGTTAATGAATAACATAAGTTCATGAACACGTATCCACCAATCGAATCGACAGGTTTCACAGTTTTGTACCAATGACATTCATCGGCCATGCGCAGATAGTATCTCCGAAGTAGCTTATTGTATATTGATTGATTTGTTAACGTAATTAATAATACAAATGCTTTTAAAGATTAACTATGGAGAGGCAGAGGAGAAGTAGAACCTTAAAATAGCTTTATAACTTTCATGAACACGTATCCAGCAATCGAATCGACTGGTTTTACAGTTATGTAAAAAATTATTCGGCCATGCGCAGATAGTATCTCCACAGTAGCTTATTGTATATTGATTGATTGAAAAAAAATATATATGGTACGAATGCTTTCAAAGATTAACTATGGAGATGTAGACGGAAAAGTGGAACTCAAACTTGGGATTATAGAAATGTATTACCTGTAAAATAGCACCCATCTGCGAAGCGACTATCGCAGAGAACATACTGATAACACCAAAAGCCATTGCTGACAGGAGAGAAAAGCAAAGAGCAGGATTAAAAACCTAACATGATATTCGTCACGCACTCTCTTCCCCTTAACCCACGAGAAGGACAGCCCATGAGACCGACAATCCATCACTGAGACCGACAGCTCACCGGACAAGGACAGTCTCATAGGCAAGAGGCGGATTAAGCCGGCGGCAATAGGGGGGGGGGGGGGGGGGGCAAATCTGGAGGTTTTTTTTGCGCCGACCCGGCCGGCCGGTGAATAAGCTGGGGGGGGGCAGCTTTTTTTTTTTAAAGGTAAAATTTACGTTAATATCCTTAAAAAAAACTTGGGGGGGGGGGGCTAGGGGGCCGGTAGAATCGGCCCGTGGATCCGCGCCTGTCATAGGCCGCCTATATCCACTTTTTTAAAGGCCTTTAAGCCGACGAAAAACGAGACCGACAGTCCACTACACCGACATCTTTATTTCTTCCCTTGTTTATTTATTTGTTTTAACCTACTGATTATGGACCCTCGGTCGCTATAGGAACTTTGAAACTTTCTCCTTTCTTTTGTAAATCTGTATGATCATAATATATATCTATATATTAGATTATGAACCTATGCATCATTTACCGTGACTGGTCGCTTCCACCTTTTTTTAAACTTTATATTTCATATGACTTTTTATATCACTTATGTTTGTATATAGTTTGTCATTAAGTCACATTTTATTTGTGACGCCTTGTAGTACTGTGCAATCGCAGATAGTATCATATATTCTCATTGTTTGTAATATCCTTTCTCTCAGAATGATCAATAAAGTATATTTTGCGAATAAAAAAATTATATGTTGTATGAATTCTTGTGTATAGTTTCTTTGCACTTGTGGCACTTAAAGATATATTATTACTCGGGTCATCGGATTCAGGCTTGCCGCCACTCAATGTATTTTTATGTAGAAACACTGATCGCTAAAGTGTCTTTTCATACCGAGTCCTTTTGTGATCCATGTGTAGCGACTATCCTCGATGTTTGGCCAGATAGTTTTGACGACATCTTCACCGGCTACAGCAGCTAAGGCATTCAAACCTGAAGAGATAGTGCTGAGAGAAAAAACTCACATAATCATTAAGGCATCGTTTAACAATGTAAAATCTGAGCTACATGGCCCTACGTATATCAGTTTCTGTGATATGGTGTAATATTGAAGCCCTAAAGAAAAATTGCGCTTCAAAATGATCATGAAGTGCCTCAAAAAAAAAAAAATCTTTGAGTGACCGGCTTTACCATACTCATTTTTCCCAATAGACTGTAGTGTTATGAAAATCGTTAGGAAAACGAATTCTGAAATTTCTAATTCCAATCATAGATATCTTGATAATCAGACAGGCGATTGGCTTGCGAAAGTCACGGGATTCATGTATGACCTAAAAGTTTATAATTATGATTGCAGCGTGAGCTAAATAAATGATTTTTTTAAAGTATCTGAGACAAAGTTACCGGATCCCTTTAAGTTAGGCCCTTTTATAGGAATGTTTATCCATTATATGAACTTGAACTTCTCTCGGTTATGCAGCTTAGCTTAGGGAGTTCAAACATTTAAAATAAAATTCCTTTGGGGATTTTCAGGAAATTTTCGGCTGATTTTAAAACTTAAATCTCTTTCAGTTATCCCTGATTTTAACCAGGTAGAATGTGCGGTTGGCATGGACAAAATTCATGGGGTTGCGCGGCTGTGGATTGTGCTTTTAGGCATTAAACAGAACATGACATTTGGCGGAGTAAATTCTCCACTATTTCCTACTTTTGGATGTCAGACCTACACTGTCGCTTATAAAGGTGGAATATTTTTTTTTATCCCAATTTATGGAATTATTTTTAAAATAATTTAAAATAATAGATCTAAATAATAGTATACATTCTCAGATTTTATTGAATAATAATTTGCCAATATGTGTTTTGCGTGACTGCTAAAGCATGAATATGCTACTATGCTTATCAACTAGGGGACCTATGCCCTTAAGTCATAAATGACAGTAATGAGGATTAATGCCCCCACAAAAGGGCACTAATATAGCACATCGACACGGTGTTGATCCTGAGGCCTCACAGTTACGAGGCCATTGCTTTGTCACTGAACCATGACTGTACGCAGCGGGGGCTAGGGTAGGGGGCAGTTTCCATAAATTAAAAAAAAAACAGAAAATGCAATAAATTTTCAATAATTTATTGCATTTTACCCCGGTCCCCAACATAAAAAAATCCTCTGGACGGCCATGCATTATGGCTCAAGGCATGGACACACAGAAGATTTTTTTATGTTGGGGACCGGGGTAGAATGCAATAAATTATTGAAAATTTATTGCATTTTCTGTTTGTTTTTTTTATTTATGGAAACTGCCCCCTACCCTAGCCCCCGTTGCGTACAGTCATAGTTCAGTGACAAAGCAATGGTCTCATAACTGTAAGGCCCCAGGATCAACACCGTGTCGATGTGCTATAATAGTGCCCTTTTGAGGGGCATTAATCCTCATTACTGTCATTTATGACTTAAGGGCATAGGTCCCCTAGTTGATAAATATAGTAGCATATACATGCTTTAGCAGTCACGCAAAAAAAACACAAATTGGCAAATTATTATTCAATAAAGTCTGAGAACGTATACTATTATCTAGATCTAGTATTTTTAAATTATTTTTAAAATAATCCATAAATTGGGATTAAAAAAAAATATTCCACCGTTATGAGCGACAGTGTACTTAAATACGTTTGGGATGGGTGCCTTGGGATGGTTGCCATATCGTCATTCGGTATAGCATCAATAACACAGACTCTTATGACTACGGTCATTCAAAAGAATACTCCCCTATCTAAAATAGTAATTCGCAGTCACAGGTTGTAAAACACCTTTAGAGTTTTATTCCGATTCATGTGAATTTTATATGTTTACCAGAAGAACAAATATACATGTAGAACTATAAACATTATTAAACAATAGATTTCAAGATGATCACCGTCTAGTTTATAGAGGTCAAAAAGTCGAGGACTCTGAGATAATAGGCCTCAACTAAATAGGCCTCAACTTTATATATTATTTGTATTGAGATAGCCTGGTAATATAAATCAGCTGAATTTTTTTCGGGCTTAAAGATAAACTTTATAGTACTGGTAATGCGATCGTATTGTGAAAGAAAAGGTGTGAAAAGTATCAGACACAGTTGATCATGTAGCATGTAAGTATTGGTGTGCACTGCAAGGTTCTGGAGTCATCAAAATCATAATAAATTTGACCGAGTCTTGGTAAAGTAACAAGCACTCACATAGAAAGCTATATATGGGACATCACACATGGTGTCGGGGCTAGTACCTTGATTTCCCTGTCTTTCTATGCTCATTACTCAGCCAGTATACATTTTCTTCCAAAATTGTTTGGCACATGTCATTTATTTGTAATCTTGAACATTCAGTGTAAGTTTCGTTTGATTCTGTGAGATTTTTTTTTATTTTTTTTACCAGTACTGGAGTTTATCTTTAGTATAACACGGCCATTAAATTTTGCATGATTGTGTGATGATGTGTGTTTACCTTAAAGCTGCACTGAATACTGCTGATGTAAGCAAACCAGGAAGTCCAGGCATCGAACCGAAAAGATCCATGATAAAATAAGGCATCATCTGTCAAAATAATATATATTTATGAAATGTCAAACTGCAATGGGACCAGTAAGAAGTATTATTACTTCTAAAGGTGGTAACATTATAATGTTTTTACAAATAAAATGTCTATTTTGAAATGTTACCTTGAGCTTTAAATGATTAAAGAACTAAACTAACTTTTTTTTTAAGCGTTTGGGTGGTAGTATCTTGGTTTGTACATTCTCATTTTTCTTTGTTTATATACTTATGTTCTTGTTTGTTTGTCTTTAATTATTTCTATGTTATAATACGGTTATCTTATAATTGTACATGTATTTTGTTTTGTTATGCACGGACCTGCAGAAGAACAGCCTTTGGCTGAAGGTGGTGCCGTGCAAAAAAAAAATCAAAATAAAATAAACTGAACTGACTTTAAGACTTTTTTTTGGGGGGGGGGGTGTAATTGTTTGATCGACCTGTTGTCGGTGGATTTGGGCTCGTTGGTATGCATGACTCAGGTATACGCCTACTTTATGCAAATTTGCTACCTTACCTATACAGTACTTCAGTTGCTATTTTCCCGAAATATTCCTCTACTACTGATTAAAGAATGCCTTACCATGGATATAAAACGTTCCTGGATAACGAACCTGATCGTGGCTTGCTACAGCACCATGAAGCTTGGGATCACATCCAGCGTAATTAGCATACATGACCACGCCCACTATATGGGGTAACACTTGTACCACTATCATACCAATCGTCGCAATGAAGATGGCTCTGGAAAAATTGGAAATAATTGTAAAAAGGGTAGATGAGGCCATTATGACCATATGACAAATTTAATAATGACTTAATTTAATTCAATTACCTCAAAAATAGAACGCTATATAAATAAATATAATGACCCTTAGCAATCTAGCTGACCTTGATAATCAATAGTCCAAGTCGTCTTTGCGTAAGGTCCTAAACTTTAAAATTGTGTAGACTACGGATTAGATACAGTGTATCATTAAAATTTGCTTCTAAATTGTGTTATTAATTTAATCATATACCATTGGCAGCAGACGTACAAGTATTTCATAAATGGACACACTGTAACACAACTTGGCACTTATAATGCTGCCAAAGGAACGACTTTGCGTTCCGATTGCCGAAGATTCGGACAATAAAGAATGATTCTTGACATTCAATAAAGCATCGCGATCGTCTTATTTTATCTTTCATTTGACACTAATGAGTGGATATTTAAATCTTTTTGAAAGTTTTCTCTAAAATGTCCACACAATAACAAAAATGGTGCTTATAAAGTCTCTGAGCGCTTAAACAAACAGGATACATTGATAAAGAATTGCATAGGCCTATTAAACAAAACTAAAAAGAAATGCAAATAAACCTTCAAATTAAATACATATGAATAAACATCAACGTGAACAGATTAATGGTCCCAGGCCCCTTTGATTAACGGGCAAGGGCAACGCACCCCCCCCCCCCCCCCCCCCCGGGGTCGGAATGACCGCATGCGTGTTACCAAAATGTCCGGTAAAGGTGTACTTTTCACGCACCAAAGTCCGGCTCGTAGTACACAAAAATTGACTTTACACACCGAACTTAGGGGGTGTTTTCAAAATGAGGGAACACGCATATGCGTACCCTAAATAACACTAATTAACTTACATTCTTGCCTTCTGGAGTGAGCCACACGTGAGGTATCTCTGAACCTGGGCCTGGTTCACTCCAAATACACTCGTCCAGTTGAAACCTCCACCAATCACGAGTCCCCAAATGGTGTGACGTATTGTGACGTCAGTACTCCATCTAGAATATCGAGAAAGACATGGAAATCGAGTACCGGTAGTCATTATTTGATGGGTGTTCTCTGCCTTGACTCTGGGGTACTGTTCAGCCATCCGAGGTAGAGATAAACTGGACGATGGATGGAGAGGGGGTGGGGGGGGGGGGGGGGGGGGGGGGGAGGGGGGGGGGGGAGAAGGCATGCAGACTGCAGAGCTGGTCGTCTACTATGTATAGAGACATTTGTGTGTACCTAGTAGATAAGGACCCTCCATCACTAGAGGGAAGAATGAGAGACTACAAAGAGGGAAAGGCATTTAGTTATTTTGCCAGTTTCTGGTTAGGGAGATATTTTTTTCATCTCGTGGGAGAAAGCTGTCTGTAATTCAAAATCATTTAATACTTGAATAAATTTAGTTCATTTTCTAGACTTTTTTCATGTCAAACCGTTGATTCTACTTTCTTGTGAGTATAGTCAGAGGATAGAGAAGTAACACGAGTAAAGAATGAAAAGAAGCTAATATTTGAACGAGGAGGAGAAAATGGAGATTACGTTGTTGCCCATAGAGTTGGAATAATTGTTCTTACCACTTTTTATTAATGATTGTGACCATTTGGTTTATTGTTTGTACATAAAGTCATATGTTATGAGAACTGTATTGATCAATCTAAAGAGTCTTATAGATTGATTAATACAGTTTTTGAGATGATGATGATGATTGTGATGATGGTGAACGAGAAGGAGAAGAGGAGGAACATATCATGAGTTGATGGAGAAAAGATTGATAAAGGGGTTTATCATTACAGAGAGAGAGAAAGAGAGATGGACTAACATGAGGAAGGGAGAGCAAGAATGGAGGCTATGACATAGGGGAAGAGATAGAAATCAAAATAATATTTATACTAACATTTACTAAATTAGAATAGTAAATTAGAAGATAAAGCTAAAGGAAAGAATGCAAACTAAAATTAAGCAAAGACCATCACAATATCGTTTACATTATAATATAAATTAAGTAAAGGTACATGGAAACGTGTACATTTGTAAAATTTAATCTCTTGTTCTCTTAGATCTTCCTCTTCACACCTAATTCTTGCTCTCCCTCTCTATCTCTCCCTCCCCTCTCTGTCTCTTTCTCTCTCCTCTCTCCTTATTATCACTCTTTCTCTTTCATTAAGCGTCGACATCTCTCTCGATGCCTCTCTCTGTTTCTATGATTTTTCTCCTCGTTAAATATTTAAAACATCAGGTCTGTCTGACCTTCCTCTCTTGAATAATCATGAATAACTTCAACTCGGCGTCCTTACATACAGTAATGATTGCTTAGTACTCATCTACAACCTTCTCTGTGTTGTTTTATTTTATTGATAAAATAAATATAACCATGAGATGAATACAAGTTAGATCAATATCAACAGGTTTATGCAATGCATATAGTTGACATCTTAGTTGAAGAAGTAGTACCAACCCCCGCGCCCCCCCCCCCTCCAGAACGGGAACGGAGGTACCATGCATGCGTGTCCCAAAATCTCTGGCTCGTAACAAGAAAAAGATCTGCCCGTATTGACTTTACTCACTGGACTTTTGCTGAGAAGGGGGGGGGGGGGGTACCACCTTTAATGCAAACACATTTAAAGGGATCGGGTAACTTACTCTCAGATTCTGAAACAAAATCCTGGATTTAGCTCATGCTGCAATGATAAATTTAGGTCAGTCAGGAACTCAATGACTTTTACAATCCGATCGCCTGTCTGATTATCAAGATATTTACGATTGGAAATCGAAACCAAATTTTGTGTTTGCCAAACGGTTTTCATAACACTACAGTTTATTGGGGAAACGAGTATGGTAAAAGGGGTCAACAAAGATTTTTACTTTTTAAGGGCACTTCTTGATCATTTTGAAGCACAATTTTGTTAGGGCTTCAGTATTAATACCCCATATCACAGACACTGGTAGCACGTAGGGCCATACGTCCATCTCAGTTTTAACATTGTTATACATTGTTAAACAATGCATTTTACAATACCTTTACAACATACACCATACACCATTTGCTGTCACATGGTTTGAAATCACATTACAGATAATAATTCTACACACTGTGAGGTTTCACCTGTCGTCATTTGATACCCGAAGGACACTTTTTAGGGGCTAAATCTAATTTTTTCACAGGCAAATAACTATATGCCTTCCCCTCTTGTAGTCTCCTCATTATTTTTCCCTCTAGTGATGGAGGGTCCTTATCCATAGGTACATAAAACATAGTAGGCCAGTTCTGCATGCTACCCCCACCCCCCCCCCCCCAATCCATCCATTGTCCAGTTCCTCACAGTGTCTCCTCGGATGGCTGAACAGCTACCGCGTCAAGGCAGAGACACCCATAAAATAATGACTACCGGTACTCGATTTCCAAGCTTGAGTCCCCTCCTTGTAGAAAGTCACGTAACACTTCTGTTGTCCGTTGTGAAATGAGCTCTCTCGTAACATCTACATGCACGTTATCTTCTGTTTCATCGGCCGTGTTCGATGATGCTGCAACTGATAAATATAAGGGAAAAGACAATCATATTAAGTTCGTGACCACAAGAATGATTGTAACAAAAGAATCCTTATCACTTCTTCACACGAAGATGCTCAAGTTGAGCTCATCGATATCAGAATTTATATCCAGATCCAGATCGACAAATCTATCATTTTCATGCCTCTTTTACTTTTTAACACTTAATTGCAATCACTATCTAAATGTCAGCCATTCTAGTAGACCCTATTCCATTATCAATTATAGGATCTAGAAAGTCTATTCATATTTCATGAGACATAATCTCATATTACTGTACATTTCTACCTAAAACACGAGACGAGTGTACTTAAGCAGCTTAAAAGACAATCATTCTACTTAAAATGCACACACATTTGAACATACGGACTAATCTAGGCCTACATTTAATAAAGTTGGATCTCGGCCCACTCTCATTAACGTCGTATTATCAGCTTTATTAGTCATAAAAATGAATAACCACAAACTTTGGTTTTCTTACCGTACAAATGATACTGGATTGGAAGAAAATCACTGCAGATAGCGGACTATGTACAAGATTATGATGTTGATTCGATACGAATCCCGTTGTTTGCAACAGGACAGCTGATCACGGCGAAGGTGAAAATGGACTAGAATTATGTCCCGGCATGCTTTGCGATGAAACAACCGTGAAGGC